GGCCCGCCCCACCCCCCAGCCGGCGCCCCCGGGGAGAGTCCCCGCTCTCCCACCCGGGATGACTGTGGAAAATAAGAACGAAGTAAGACCCGAGAGACGCCCAACGCCGAGAAAAACGCGACCACCGGCTTAAGGGGGGACTGGTGGCCGCCACCCGAGGGCACCTGTGAAACCCGGGGAAGAGACCCTACCGCCGGCTTCCCCCGCCGGCGGCCCCGGGCCCACCCTGGCGAAGGAAGAAGGCTCTGCCGCCCCCCGCCCCGGGACCGGCCCCGACTCGATCCGGGGGAACGAGGAGGCGCCGGCCGGGGAGCTCCCCCCCGTCCCGCCCGGCGGGGAGAAGGGGCGCCGCTTCCCGCCCTGCGGCCCTACCTGCTCCGGCGACGACCTGAGGAGAGCGGCCGGCGGGGCAGCGTCTCTCGGGGCTTCTCCTTCCTGGAAAGGGCGCGGCGGAGTCCCAGGGCCGTACCTGGGCCGTACCTCCGCGGGCGGCACCGCCACCGACGGGCTGGGGCCGCCCCGGGGCGCGGGGGGAAAACGCCCCCGGAGCCTGAGGGGAAAAGGGGGTCGGCCCGGAGGAGCCGAGCGGTGCCGGGACTCGTCCTCGGGCCTGTCTCCAAGAACCTGGAAACCTGAGCCCCGGCTCACTCAGAGGACAAGGTACCAGCCCTTACCGTCTTCTCTCAACTCCTGGTGATGTTAAATATGACTTTTCACTCCCCGCCCCCGGTTTCATGATGTTGAAAACCTGTTTGGGCTTCTTACTCCCCTTCCTCCGACGGCAGGGTGCCTGGCTGAGGAGAAGCTGTGGAGAGGGGCGGTCTCCCCGGCAGGGGCGAGGCGCTCTGCCTTGTAACTAACTAGCTGCTCACCCACAATTAATTATTTATCTAGTGGCAAAATAGGGTGTTTTGCCTCCACCAAGCTTTTCTAGCCAGGCAGCTAGCCACAGGGGCAAAAGGAGCTGTGGAAGTTTTTGCACTGCGGTGGGTTTGTTGTTTTGTTGTTTGTTTAGGGTTTTTTTTTTTAATCAAGGAAGCAAACCTCAAGGTGTTTCTAAGAGGCTGGAGGGTGGCGGAGGTGGTTCCCTGGAATGCAGGAGGCTGGGGCCTCCCTTGGCTCTCCTTCCCCGGGCAGAGGAGCAGCCTGGCAGGGAGGCCGGGTTCACTCACATCAATCTGTGCCCATTTCGGCTTCTCCAAAGGGTGAGAGAGAAGCAGTTGAGCACTTCATGTCTTGTTTTAAGTGTATTTTCCCAAACCACGTGTGGTGCGTAGTGAGGACAAGAAGTGGTACTTGAAAAGCCTTTTCAAATGTGAGGTTGAGAATGCTTTGGCACGGTGTGCTGGTAACATTAAATACGTAAAGAATTTTGGGATGGGTTGGGTTCAAAATGGCACACCAAAGGAACTCTTGAAAGACAGGAGTGGAATGATCTTGCTACCAGGAAATCCAAGGACTGAGGGTGACCTGTGTCTGTCCTAGCAGAGCTGTAGTGACTCTGGTTTGTGTTATTTATTTACGTGCTGGAGTGACTTGGATATACGGAAGCAGGAAAGCGTAGAGTAAGGGTATTGGATAACACTGGTGGAAGTGATCAGATAGTCCCTGGAGAAAAACAGAAACTTCTGATGTGTGAAATAAGGAGGAATGATGACTGTAGTTAAATATTTACTTTATGATGTCAACACACTGCAGTTAAGAGGTGCCTGATGAATGTGTAACTTAGAAGCTGGGGCGGCTCTATGTTTTTTAGCTAGTGAAGATCTCAACAGAAACGTTTGTACTGTGATTGTGTATGTGCTTATAATACAGTGGAAGACTAAGGGAACAATATTGCATAAGAAAAGAGCAGTATAGGTTGTTTGTTATCCAGATAATACCCAGGAGACAAGAAAACTTAGTTGGTACATGTTGGAAAACAGGACAAACTGCCATTACTTTGTAAAGTTCCTACGTGACTGTCTCCGAGGATGGCATCAACCAGCAAAATCCCTGCTTGAGAGCTACGGTGCAAGGGTGTGAATGCACAAGAACTCTGTGGAGTGTTTAAGTGTAAGTAAAATACTTGCATGTGTATATGGAAACTTTTTATGCATCATAACAACTTTGTAGGAGGAACCTCTGCTGCACAAGCAACAAATAAATTTCCATTGCGCTATCCCACTATTGCATATCATTATTAACAGAGAAGGAAAAAGGTTTTAGAATTGCTTATGTATGATGTCTGGGGAGTGAAGGGATCCTGCTGTCCTCAGGGCAAGAGTCCCCCTTGGGCCCAGCTCTACCTGCATCTGGGAAGAAGGCTCCAGGTTCCTGGTGTGGGCTGAGAAGCACCTCAGCACCATCCAAACTTTCTGCTGGACCTCACCCTTGCTCTGAAGGTGGAGGAGCGATGCAGAAAGACTCTGGTGGGAAAGGCCCTCAGATCTTTAATGCTCACCAATGGTTACTCAGATGTTTTCGCCTGTGTGGATTTTAGCAGACAATTTATAAGTCTTCTGTCTGTTCGTGCTTGTGCATATGTAGCGAAGATTTTTCAAAACCATACCATACAAAACATAAACAGTGTAAGTTATTTATTAGTGAGACTTAATAAGAAAATATTAAGTTGCTGTACACTGGAAAACGGGAAGGGGTGGTCTTTACCTTGGAAAAGACTAACTTTGTGCCCCTCTCTGAGCTCAGCCTGTGTTCCCATGTGCCCTTCTCTGTGATCTTGAGGATTGGCTGTGAAATCCTCCCAATACACAGATGTTTGAGATCTCTCTAACGTGTTTGTGTGTCAGTCTCTCCAGAAAAATGAGTGAGAAGCTGGTAATGGCACACACTGTAACAAGTGTGCACGAGTCCTCTAGTTCCTTCTTGTGTTAATGAGCCAAACCTTGCTTGTCTTAAGCTTGCTTGTATTAAGACAGAAGACCAAAGAAAGACTCAGCAAGGTCTCTCCCCGCCCCCAGTCAGGTGTGGCTCGACTCCATTATTCCCAAGGTAGGAGCCACCCCTGTTTCTGAGCTATACCTGAATTTTTGCTGTCCCAACCCAGAGACTCAATGCTGCTGTTTAAAGCAGCATTACAGCAGCACGTGTAGACATGACAATACTGTACGTGGCTTAAGCTAATTAGTGTATAAGGAAATATTCAGGTTTTAGGGTTATGCTATGGATAATGACTAGAAGTGTGCTTAAATTTTGCTTTGTTATACAGAACATAGAAAAGGTGAATATAAGGAAAAAGAAAGGGTGCAGCAAGTGCTTAGAATAAATACAGCATCTCCTGTGCATATGCAGATTTCAGCATGGCAGAACAATGAGTAGCTTCTACATGTTACTTCCCTACTTGTGAAGTAATTTTTAAGGTAAAATAGCCTTTATTAGCAAGCTGTGTGATGAAGAAGCTCAGAAAGATGGAACTGGCAGTAAGGATGTTATTCTCTTCAACCTTTTCAGATAAATACCTGTAAACAACATAGTAGGCAGGTAATTAGAGATAAATACCAGTAAACAACATAGTAGACAGGTAATTAGAGATAAATACCTGTAAACAATATAGTAGGCAGGTAATTAGAGATATTCTGAGAGATGAAAAATAGGCAATTAATTTACATAACTTGCATTTAACATTGAGTGAATATAAATTCACATTTCTAAAAATAGTTCTAATTTATTTGCTGTACTAGCTAGTATGTTTGTTTACCTGTATTTTAAATCTTCACTCATTACAGTGTTGTTTGGTAGAATATCGTTGGAGAAATTAAGTACGAAGCTGTTTAAGAATTGAACCAGAACTACATATCTCCTCACAAGAGGAAGGTGATACAATCTAAGGTGTTTATGCAGCAGTTATTTCTTTCTGCATCTATTTATTAATTTGCAGCAAAGTAATAGTGGTGTATTCATTTTAGTATAGAAAAGGATAATATGCTTAACTGATTTCCCATTCAGAGGACTTTGGGTGAGGAATGCATCTAATTGCTTGCTAGCAGTGTCCCCTTCAGATCATGCTATCAGAGATTTTCTTTTAATTGTTTCATACAAAATCATGAAAAGTAACACTGCTTATCTCACCCCAGTATGCAAATATATCCTACCATAATTTGAGTATTCACTTTCTTGTAGCTATTCTTCAGTTTCTCATGTGGTATTTGTCAATTGATATGATAAATTTTGGGTAGAAGTTTTAAGCATTTGAATAATGAAAATAACACAAATGTATAATTGAGAATGACCCCTCTCTTGGACTTCGGAAGTGTGTGCATCTGGTTTGCTCTGTGTAATGGTTTATTTGACATGCTGAATCATATGGTATAGATTTGTCCTTTAGACAAAAACTATTCAAAGTTCTCAGGTTTGTTAACTAAATTTCTGTCTGGGTAGCTTGGTTTAGAAGTAATGCTTTTTTGCTGAAGATAACTTGACATAACTTAGATTTTAATAGTTAGGTTTGTACAGTTAAAATCAAGGGGCTTTGACTATCGCATTCAGCAATAAGAACTTCAGGGAATGAGTGAACAATATCAAAATCTTGGAAAAGCCTCTTGTCTGTTTCCACATAGTTCATGCTGTAGGGAAGGGTTGTTTTAGACCAGCCCCTCTTTGGAGAAGGCAATTAGGTTTTGGGGACACCCATAGTGTCCCTTTGCCTTTCTGTAGAAATGCCTGGTTTTCCAGCTATATTGGTTGGTTTAATAAAAGCCATGATAAATGATGTCGTGTTTTGGCAAACCATTGTCAGTTTAATCTTTACTTGGAATCAAGGTTACTATTGTGATAATGCTTTCATAGGATTTTAAGTGTATTATAAATGTGCTTAAATTTCTGGTACGCTCATCACTGTGTCTTCAGTTAAGGCTATAACTTTATCCCACAAGACATGATGAAGTCTTTTAAGTGTTGATCATGAGATTCTTTGGAATTAAGAGGTTGAATTTAGCTGATAAAATAACTTCTGCTGAGGTTATTGCTTCTTTCCTTCGGAGGAATATTAGTGATTTTTCTAGTTAAAAGAAAATAATGCTGGCACAAATATCCTATGGCAGTGCAGGGGGGAAAGCAAGAAACACGTGAGAAAAACTAGGTTTTTAATAGCAAAATAACTAGGGTTTTAAGGACAGATCTATGGACATAGATATGGACATAGATCTATGTCAGTTGTTAAATTTCAGAATGAGACAATTTTTCATTAAGATTTTTTTTTTAAAGTGCCTACACCTAATTAAGTACTAAGCTATGGAGATAATTTTTACTGCTCAGAAATAATGGTAGACATTTGTAATAGCACATAAATAACAAAAGTAATTATACATCCAATTAACAAAGTTTGTTATTGTCAGAATACTAGTCTTTATGGGGAAGTTACTAAACTAAAAATGCTTACAGAGGGAGAGTAAAAGCCTTGCAGGGCTGAATTTTGCATATGCATGTCTTTGTATTCAATATTTGAAAGGGAATGGAAACGTTACCCATGCTGATGAGGAAGGAAACACCAGTTCTGGTTTTAGAATGGGCTTGATGCTCCCAGCTGGTGAGTGCTGTCGGCTCCCACCGAAGGCACCAAGAACGCTGCTCCTCTAATAGGAGTAAAATTCTGCATTGTCAGTTGCTCAAAGTATTTTTAAATACAGCAAGTTTAATAAGGTTGAGCTTTTTTGTTATTGGGAAGATTGGTATGTTGTGGGATTTGTACGTATGTGTCCCAACATGAGAATGCCAGGAAATGGTTTAGGGAAAACTCAGTGTA